GTCACCTCCCTAAGAAGGCTCCAGGGACTTTGGGGCATCCCAGAATTCCTCCTGTCTGTTCTGTCCATCTTCTAGGATTCCCCAGAGGCTGGCAGCACCCCTAAGCTTTGGTCCTTGGTCAGCTTTTGGGCCAAGTTATCTTTTGGCAGATGGGTCCCAAGGTGGTGGGGGATAGCCAGAGCTTGCAAAGTATACTGATATTCTCAGTTGCTGGGGTCAGAGGCCTGACACCAGGTGTGCCTGGTGTGGCGACCCCAGGCCAGTTCCACTTTGGGGGCCCCAGCACAGGAGGGCCCTGGGCAGCCTGGGGGGAGGACCTACAAAGTGGGAGTACAGGGAAGGGGGTGTCACAGAGAGGGAGGGCCGCTGGGGGGCCCAAGGTGGGGCTGGTCACACCCTCTCCAAGACTTCAAAGCAGGAGAGTGAGATTTGCAGGGGGCTGGGCCATGGGGAGCCCTGGCCCACAGCTTCCAGGCCTTTTATATGGTTATTCCCTGTCCTGTCTCAACTACCTGTGAACAGGCCCACTGGGCCATTTCCTCCCTCTGCTGTAAACTCCCTGGAGTGGCTGAGGCAGCTTCTGAGGGTCCTGTCTGGAGGGTGGGGGTGGGGGCCCTGGGGAGATGCTGCTGCTGAAGTCTTGGTAGGTGAGAGGCACCACTCTCCAGAGCGGGCACTGGCAAAGCTCCCTGACACCCCTCATCACATTTCCCTTTGCATAGAAAGGAAACTGAGGCCTGGAAGGGGGCAAGGCTTGCTCCTGACTGCAGTGAATCAAGGGTTTAGCCTCCCACCTCCTCTTACCTATAGCCTGGGTCTGTCCTATGTCCCCATGGGCTGCAAAGGCTCCCATGCCCTTGGGGCCCTCTTCCTGTGCGATTTGCCCTTCCTCTGTCCCAAAGGCCATGATGGTGTGGATGAGGTCAGCTAAGACCATCTTCATGGTGGTCTTTGACACTTGGCCTATAGGGAGACCTCCTAGCCCTGCACCCTGATGCCAGGGCTTCCTGGGTCCCTGGCATGCTGTGTGTGCTCAGGCCACTGCTGACTCCTCTCAGGGTCCTAGCAGCACGAAGCCTGGAGTCCTATTGCTCAGAGGTGTTTGGGTACTTTGTGCTGGCCAGAACAGGCAGGCCTCATTTCTGCCTCAACCCTAAGTGTTCTGTCTTGTGTCTGGGTGTGTGGGCTCTGACCTGCAGCTCTCTTCCCTGAAGCCCAGCTCTGCCTCATCACACTCCTTAAGTATTATGCCCCTGCCATATTCCCTGGTTCTTCAGATCTCTGTGACCTGGTGGCTGTGCCCACACCCCCTCCACCCCTTTTGCCCGCCTGCCTGCCCAGCCGCCTCCCCGGCGGGTCTGTGTCTTTCATCTGTGATGCCCCTGGCACCCAGCCCCAGCAGGTGCCAATTAGGGAGGCTCCTGCCCAGGGCCCTGACTCAGAGGCACAGTGTGCCCTGTCAGACAGGGCTCCTGTGGGGCGCCTGTCACTGCCTCAGAGACTGACCCTTTTAGGGGTGGCCTGATGGGTTGTGTGGACTTGGGGTGCCGCCCCATTGGGTGACTCACCTATCAACAGGGAGAATTGGCATCTGTCCTGCATCCTTGGTGTGGCCCTGCACCCTTAGTCGCTATTTCCCTTTATATAAATGGCAGCCCATCTGGCCCCAGCTGAGCCCTGGACCTGACCAGGCAGGGGATAGGGTCAGGGCCAGGTCTTGCAGATACCTGTAGCCCTCGAGTAGTGAGTGTTGTCCTGGAACTAACTGACTGGCAGGAGATGCAGTGGGCCATGAGCCAACAAAGCCACGGGCTGGAGAGTGACACTGGGGTGCCCACCTTGGGGTGCAGGGCAGCTGATGCAGTTTGGGAAGGTGATGCAAAGGGGTGCTTAAAGTCCAGAGCTCTGGACCTGGTTCCTTCTCTCCTGTAGACCCTGACAGGCCCTGGCCAAAGGACAGCTGGAGAACACTGGTGACTATCCTTTCCCTAGGACCAACCCTCCAACCCCATCCCTGGCAGCACCTTCTCTACCTGGGACTTGCCTCCCTAACTATCCTGGTATAGGGGTCTCTGGTCAGTGAAGGGCCACATGACTACTGGGAACTGGAGGGGTAGGGTGAGGGGCCCTGGTTGGGGGTATAGTGGACAGGACTGCCTGTGGTTGTTCTGGGTAGAGGGAGGCGAGTGTAGTGGCTTCCCTTGTGGCTCCTGACACAAAGGCGGGGAGTGGCCCAGTATGGCCCACAGCATGTGTCCTGCTGGCTCTTGGCTCTCAGCTCTTAGACTGTGTTCCCATCTGTTCCAGGCAGAGGATGTTAGTGAGTGTCCACTCTCTACTCCCCAGAGCTGCCTGGCACCTCCCTTCTGTTTTTTTCCCACAAGTGGCTCCCTCTCTCCTCTTTGTGTGGACTTTAATTCCAGGATGAACTGGTGAATCTCTATAGCAAATGGACACCCGGGAGCATGGCCCAGCCCCTCCTGCTCTCCCACAGGATCCCTGCCTTCCAGCCGTGTACACATGACTGTGCTGGGCCCAGGCTCTTGAGAGGGTGGGGCTGGGCTGCTACTCTCACCTTCTAGCTGGACATCTGGTAGGGCTGAGAGGTGATGACACAGGAGTACAGATACCAGTGCTTAGTCAGGGGGTTGTGTGGCCTTGAGAGAGACTTTTGGCTTCTGTTGCCTCAGTTTCCAGAGGTGCACTCAGCTTCCTGAGGGAGGGTGGCCTGCTCATTCTGCAGGCTTTTCCTGCCTGGCCCAGGCTACTTGGAGTGGGAACTGTGGCAGACAGAACCAACTCCTCACCCCCTGTCATCCACAGCCCCAGGAGGTCCCTGCCCAGGAGTGGGGGTCCCAGAGGTGCTCCTGGTGGCTGGCCTTATGCCCTATTCCTGCTAGAATCCAGCTGAGCCTTCACTTAGAGGTCACCAGCCACCAGGTAGCCATCTCCAAACTTAAGGGTTCAGGCATACCACAGCTAGTGCTAAATGAATATGGAATTTTAGGGAGGTGACTTATCTGACATTCCTGCTGGGGCCCTGGTTTGCCATACCACCTCCCCAACAATGTGCCCACCTACCACCAAAAATCCAGCACAGACCACAGGATTGATTTGTTTGCTTGTTTCTTCTTCCTTTCTTTTCTTTCTTTTTTAATACTTTCCCCATTATTTGAAACTCACAAGCTATGACTAAAATAATTTCTTTCATAGAAAGAAAAGGAAAAAAAAACCACATCTGTTCATCTAACTCCAGTGTATGGTGGATATAGCAGCATCAGAAATAAAATTAAAACCAAAAAAAAAAAAAATGCAGAATTCAAGGCAGAGGACAGTGGTGTCCCCTCTTCCAGGCTCTTGGGGTGGTCCACCCACCCAGCCATGTCTCCTCTCACTGCCTCTAGGGTGAGAGACGGTTCACAGTGGCAGAGGCTGAGGGGAGTGTTCCATGGGGTGGCTGTGGATATCAGCAGGATGGGTCCAGTGGACTCTTATTCTCATGCTGGAGGGTCCAGTGATCAGCCAGAGGCTCCAGGATAGTGGCTGCAGGATGTCAGTTTGGTGACCATCAACCCAACAGGAGGACATGGGGAGTCAATCTTGGCCACAAAGGACTGGAAAGGAGACCACCTTGTCTCAGGGCTGTAGGTCCTCCATTGGCAGCACAGTTGTGGGGTGAGGTACCCTAGACCTCCTACATAACCCCAGAATGAGGCCAGCAGCTCTGGGCAGTCTTGGGAGGTGGCTTCTCTTCCTGCCTTTCCCTTACTATGGGCTGTGGACAGGGAGAGGCTGGGGAAGGGCTGGACAGTAGTTCACTCTCTCCTATAGCTGGGATGGGTTGCAGGTAGGGAAACCCCAGGATAGGGAGGAGGGGAGGCCAGGCAGCTGGGGCCTGGGAAACAGCAGGAACATGCCCCAGGAAGACGATCCGAGTGCGGATGGAGGGGCAGAGGCAGGTCTCAGAGTCGTGGGCCCAGGATTCCCTCCCTAGGAGAAGCTCCTCTCCCCTTCTTCCAGGGCAGAGCTGTGTTCCTGGAGCTGCTTGGAGGCTGGAGGGTGCTGCAGGCTTTCCTCAGTAGACTTCTTGGTTTGGAAGGTGGGCAAAGCCCAGGCTGAGGGAGGGCTGATACAAGTCTCCACCCCCTGAATCATCTCAGAGCCAGTGGTTTGGAGAGAGTGGGCCCAAGATCCCAGAGGCTGGGGAAGGGGTTAGGGGACCTGATGACACTCCATGAGGTCTCCGTGGCTGTATGCTGACAAGAGGGGGTGGATGGGATTTTGTGGGGAGCCTGGGAAGAGAGGGCTGGAGGACTGAATCCTCTGATCTGGAGCCCAGGTTCCTGCAGGAGCCACACCCTATTCTGGAGGACTGCTTCTTTCGCGAGTCCTATCTCCAGAGAAGAGCCCCGCCCACAGGGGGGAGCCCCACCCTCAGAAAATAGCTTTCCCAGAGCCCCACCCCCACCAGAACCCCATCCCCTTTGGAAGGGCTTCACCGCCTGTTGCCTGTCGGGAGAGGAAGCTTCTCTCTTTCCAGGCAGAAGCCCCAAGCCCGTCTCTGTCAAGGGTAGCTCCATCCCTTGGGAGGAGCCCACCCCAAGGCCTTGTACCATCCACAACCCCACACTCTGGGAGGAGACCCCTCCTCCAAGTAGGAGCACCCCCTCCAAGGCAGGGCCCGCCCCATCCACGGAGGAGCTTGGTTCCCAGGGAGAATACCCGGCCTCCAAGTAGGAGCCCTGGCCCCTGGGAGGAGCCCCGTTTCATTCCTTCCAGGAAGGACACATGCTCTACCTAGGGAGAAACCCAGCCTAGGAGCCCACCCAGGCGGGGCCTGCCCCACCCGGCAGAACTCCGCCCCTCCAACTACTTGCAGGTATGCACGTCGTAGACGCGCGTGCACTCCTGGCAGCTGACGTAGCAGCACCAGTGGAACACGCAGCGGCATTTCTCCCGGCGCTGCTCTGTGCGCGCATTGTGACCTCGGCCGCAGCACAGAAGATCACAGCCGTCGATGCCATGCGAGCTCACATTGCAGGTGCGGTCGCGTGTGCCGAAGGAGCCTGTCTCCGGGTTGGGCTCGCAGAAGTTGGGGGAGGCCTCGTAGTAGACCAGGTCGCGCTCCGTGGGCACCTTAAAGTAGGTATAGCGCGGTCGCAGCGTCTCCACCCATCCGCGGGACTCGCGGTGCTTCTCCACCACCATCTCTGAGGCGCTGTCGTATTTGTCCTTGAGAAAGTCGCCAATGGCTCGGAAGTCGGGCTGCGACCACCAGCAGGTCTTTACCTCGCAGCTGCCTGACAGCCCATGGCACTTGCATTTGAGGTGCATGTGGCTGGCGATGGCCTGTGGGGCACGCGTCAGGGTGAGCGTCAGGGCAGCCATCTGGTGTGTCTCTCCAGCTGGGGACCCTGTTATTTGCTTGCAGCTCCCCGCACCATAAAGCCCTCCCCCCCCCCGCCGCGGAGGGTGAGGCTCCATGGCAGAGCAGGTGCCCTCTCCACGGCCCCCAGCACCACCCCCTTCCTTAGGGTGCAGATTCTTGGGCTGTGCACACATCTCTCCTGCCAGACTCAAGGCCACCCTCATCCATGGCCCAGGTGAGTACTTCTATAATATCTATAATAGGCCGGGTGTGGTGGCTCACACCTGTAATCCCTGCACTTTGGGAGGCTGAGGTGGGATTCCTTGAAGCCAGGAGTTTGAGACCAACTTGGGCAACATCACAAGATCCCATCTCTCCAAAAATAATTTTAAAATTAGCCAAGTCTGGGAGCACACAACTCTAATCTCAGCTACTCGGGTGGCCAAAAGCATCACCTGAGCCAAGCAGTTTGAGAATTCAGTGAGCTGTGATCACACTACTGCACTCTAGCCTGGGAGACAGAGTGAGACCTTGTCTCTTAAAAAAAAGAAAAAAAGAAAACCTTTATGGAGAGAAGGAAAGGAGGAGCAGCAACATGGGATAAAGTGCCAAATTGTGGTGTAGGTGCATAAGAGTGCAGGGATGCAGGAGGGGCGACCTTGTTTCTGACTGGGGGAACCCAAGCAGGCTGCCCAGAGAAAGTGTCTATGGGCTGGGTGGGAAGTGACCCAGAAAGCCGGTCCTTTTATGGGGACTACAGCAAAAGAGGGAGACAGTGCTGGGACATAAGGCTGTGGGATGCCTCGGGGGCCTGGCTGAGGAGGGTGTGATTTTCCCTATGGACAGTGGAGAACTCAATTTTTCTTTCCTTTTTTACTTTGAGGGAAGGGGTGAAGTTGGAGTGTGGTGACATCTAGGATTGTTTACACAGGCACTGGCCGACATGAGCCCATGAAACCTGGCTGGTCCAAATTCAGAAGGGCCACAGGTGCAAACTGCACACTAGATTTCCAAGACTGAGTATGAGAAAAGAATGTGAAATATCTCATTCATAATTTTTTTTTTTTTGAGACAGAGTCTCACTTTGTTGCCCTTGGTAGAGTGCCATGGTGTCACAGCTCACAGCAACCTCAAACTCTTGGGCTTAAGTGATTCTCTTGCCCCAGCTTCCCAAGGAGCTGGGACTACAGGTGCTTGCCACACACCCAGCTATTTTTTGGTTGTAGTTATTGTTGTTTGGCAGGCTTGGGCTGGGTTTGAACCCGCCAGCTCTGGTGTATGTGGCTGGTGCCCTAGCTGCTGAGCTATAGGTGCTGAGCCTCTTATTCATCATTTTAATATTGACTACATTATTAGAATGAATTATTAAGGTGGAGCATGGTGGCTCACTTCTGTAATCCTAGCATTCTGGGGGGCTGAGGAGGGTGGATAGGCTGAGCTTAGGAGTTTGAGACTAACCTCAGCAACAGAGAGACCCTGTCTACTAAAAATAGAAAAAACTAGCCTAGCATTATGATGGGCACCTGTAGTCCCAGTTACTTAGGAGGCTGAAGCAAGATGATTGCTTGAGCCTAAGAGTTTGAGGTTTCTGTGAGCTATGATGTTATGCCACTCTACCCAGGGCAACAGAGTGAGCCTCTGTTTAAAAAAAAAAAAATGCATTTTTAAAACAGGAGCATTTTGGCTATATTGGGTTAAAGAAATTACAGTATTAAAACCCATTTCAGTTGCAAACTCTTTAAATGTGGCTACTACAAAGCATATAATGATCTATGTGGGTCTCATTTGTGGCTCCCATACAGTCCTGGTCTAAGACTTTGTCAGGGCTCAGAGTCCAGATCCTGCCTTGGCCTGTCCATCTCTCTCAGCTGTTTCTTGAGCTCTTCCTTCTTGTATTGAATCTTCTCATGGATATCTGTAGAAGAACACACCCCCCTGCTCTGCCGGTTTAGTTTGTCTAATATCTATTTTCTTCTTTCTTTTGTTTTAGTTTTATGTTTTCTTTTTTTGAGATGGGGTCTTGCTCTGTTGTCTAGGCTGGTCTCGAACTCCTGGCCTTAAGCATTCTTCCTACCTTGGCCTCCCTAAGTGCTGGAATTACAGTTTGCAGCACTACACCCAGCCCTAGTTTTACTTGTGATCAAAGTTACACAAGTGCAACTTTTAAAAGTTCGATAGTTTTTTGGACTTGTTCAGTAAAACAGGAATCCTGGCTCCATATGCTGCCCTTTGCAATGCCTATGGCTCTAGTAATATTTGTCTTTCTACTTCCTGATTTTTCAGCATTAGGCATTATCTGTTGGCCTCTTGCCATGGATGACAGGAGTTTATGTAGCTCTTTCTTACAATTCTACCACTTGAATAAACCACTTCCTAGCCACAAGCCTCTTCTACCCTAAAACTGAGTGTAATTTTATATCAATATTCACTGCTGATGGCATTGGGACTATATTAAATGTCATACTCTACTGAGCCAAGTATTAAACATAGCATTTGATGATTTTTCCTTTCTTACACAAACTTTTGTTATTGCTATTGTTAATGCACCCATCACTGGTTCAGCCCCAAATTCTCCCTTAATTGTCTTTTTCTTGAGATAGAGTCTCAAGCTGTTGCCCTGGTAGAGTTCTGTGGTGATACAGCTCACAGCCACCTCTAACTCTTGGGCTTAAGTGATTCCCTTGCCTCAGCCTCCCAAGTAGCTGGGACCACAGGTGCCTGCCACAATGCCTGGTTATTTTTTTGTTGTTGTTGCAGTTGTCATTATTGTTTTAGCTGGCCCAGGCTGGGTTCCATCCCACCAGCCTCAGTGTATGTGGCTGGTGCCCTACCCACTGAGCTATGGACACTGCCTAATTGTCTTAATTCCTTGTTAAGGAGTAGGCCAGCGCCCTACTCCTTTGAGCCACAGGCGCCACCCAATTTTACTTTTTTTTTTTTTTTTTTGAGACAGAGTCTCACTATATCACCCTTGGTAGAGTGCCATGGCATCACAGATCACAGCAACTGCAAACTCCTAAGCTTAAGTGAATCTCTTGCCTCAGCCTCCCAAGTAGCTGGGACTACAGGTGCCAACCTCAATGTGTGCCAACAATCATGTGTTTCAAGATGTTCAAACACATCAGGCTTTATACATGGATCAACTTAATCATCTTGAAGGCATGTGTTTATAAGAAAAGGTCTTCCAGGTCAGGTTTGGTGGCTCATACCTATAACATGGCACTCTGGAAGGCTAAGGAGGGAAGGATTGTTTGAGGTTAGAGGTTGGAGACCAGCCTAAGCAAGAGCAAGACCTTGTCTCTACTAAAAATAGAAAAATTAGCTAGGCATTGTGGCGGGCATGTGTAGTCACATCTACTTGTGAGGCTGAGGCAGGAGAATTGGTTGAGCCCAGGAATTTGAGGTTGCTGTGAGCTAATTTGACACCATGGCACTCTAGTCTGAACAACAGAGTGAGACTTTTTCTACTATTCCATTTAATCGATACTTTAGCAGGGTATAAAATTCTTGGCTTGAAATCATTTTACCTCTTAGAATTCTGAAAGTACTACTCTATTTTCTTCTGGCTCTTATTGTGGTTCCTGAAAGGTTCAATTCCTGCTCCTGAAGTCCAAATGTTCTTCTTGGGATCCCCTATTTTGTATGCTTTAATTTTGAAACAGTGTGTTTTAATGTGGGTCTTTTTCTCTCTGTTTTTCAATTACTAACTGCACTTGTTTGGTCTGAAACCTGTGCCCTTCAGTACTGGGGAAACTTCCTGACTTGTTCCTTACCTAACTTCCTTTTCTTTGCATTCATTACTGTTTTTCTTGAATAGATCCTTTAAATATTCTATTTTTTTCTCTTTGTTTATTTTTCCTACTTTGTGAGTGGGTTTTTCCAACTATTTCCCAGCCTTTCTGCTGAAATTTTTAGATTCTGTTATGATATTTTTAATTTCTAAGAGCACTTTTTTTCTCTGAATTGTTCTTTAAAATTAACATCCTGTTCTAATTTCATAAATACAGTATTTTATCTCCTTAGGCATTTTTTTGGGGGCTGGGGCTGGGTTTAAACCCGCCACCTCTGGCATATGAGGCTGACGCCCTACTCCTTTGAGCCACAGGCACCACCCAATTTTATTTATTTATTTTTTTTTGAGACAGAGTCTCACTATATCACCCTTGGTAGAGTGCCATGGCATCACAGATCACAGCCTGGCTATTTTTTTTGTTGTAATTGTCATTGTTGTTTTAGCAGGCCCCTGCTGGGTTCAAACTTGCCAGCCCCTGCATATGTGGCTGGCACCCTAACCACTGAGCCCTCCTTGGGGGATATTAATGATAGTTTTTTGAAGTTTTCAAGTTTTCATCTTTCTTTACAATGTGTTTTTCCATAAACATTGTTTTTGTTTGTTTGGGCGTTTAGCACTGTTGTTGTCACTGGAGGCTTTCCTCAAAGGTCTGATGATCCTTGGCTATCTGCTCATATTTAGAAGTGGCGCATTGAATGTCTTTGGGTTTTGTTTGTTTGTTTTATGAGTCAGGGTCTTACTCTATTGCCCAGGAGTGCAGTGGCATTATCATAGCTCATAGCAACTTCAAACTCCTGGGCTCAAGCAGTCCTCTTGCCTTAGCCTCCCAAGTAGCTGGGACTATAGCTGTGTGCCACCATGCCCACTATGCTAAAAATTTTAATGGAAGTCCCTGCACATGGGAGGGACTTTTCAACTTTGATTTTCACTATAGAGTGATCTAGCTGCATCATCTAACTGGGGACCCCCTCCAAGTCAATATCTTGAAGTCTCTTCATTTGATTTGATTAGATTCTCCAGAGAGGAATCTTCCATTCTCCTACTTGGAGGATAATTGGGGTTTGCTGCTAGGATTAGGGAATCAAGAATAGAGATAATGGCATGGGTTGTTTTTTTTTTTTAGAGACAGAGTCTCACTTTGTCACCCTTTGTAGAGTGCTGTGGCATCACAGCTCACAGCAACCTCCAGCTCTTGGGCTTAGGCAATTCTCTTGCCTCAGCCTCCCAAGTAGCTGGGACCACAGGTGCCTGCCACAACACCCGGCTATTTTTTTGTTGTAGTTTGGCTGGTGTGGATTTGAACCTGCCACCCTTGGTTTATGGGGCCAGTGTCCTACTCACTGAGCCACAGGTGCCGCCCATGAGCCTTCATATTTAGAGAGACTCTTTTCACTTTAGCAGCCTCACCCTCGGGTGTGTTTGGTGTCCCTCCAAACACAAACCTTCCTTTTTAGAGAATAGATCTCCAGACTTCTGCCATGATAAAGGGAGAGACTATAACTACAAGTATTTGAGCAGAGGAGTGAATGGGTTATTAAGTGCTCTTAAAATAAACTTTCAACCAATCTTTCTGTTTTCAACCCAATATTTATGTGTACTTCTCAAGAAGCCTGATACTAGGAATTCATGGATGAGTTCTCAGATTTCTCCTCTACTGGCTCAACACTCAGTTTTCTTGGGTCTGCTTGATTCATCTATCTGTTTTTTAGCTTTCAAAGATTTATCATTGTCTCCTTTTCAGTTTTCCATATTCTCATGTGTATCTGTTTTTTTAAGTCATTTTAGGTAGAGAATCTCATATATATCTGTCTCTCCATCAACACATGTATTATCTATCCATCTACTATCTATCTCTTTATATTTCTACCTATTTAGATTTCTTTTTCTATATCTATATCTATCCATCTTCTATCTATGTATCTATCCACTTATCTATCTCTTTGTGTATCTATCTACTATCTATCTCTTCTATCTGTTCATCTACTATCTATCTCATCTATTTATATTGGTCTCTGTATATATTTAATCTATCTCTATCTCTTTATCCTCTATATATACTACCTACATATCTCATTTGTCTCTCTATTATATCCATCTCTATATATCTATTTATATAAACATTACTTTATTGTCATTATAGTAGGTTTCCAGGAGGGTACAGAGGGAAATGCTTATGTTCAGCTTGTCAGCTTTAACTGGAAGTCTCTATTCATTCTTCAGTTCTGTAATTTTTATCATTCTTTTCCAAATCTATCATATTCTTTCTTATAGTTTCTAGTTCCCTGCTGAAATGTTCATATTTGCATTTTAGCACTGTCCAGCTGATTGTGTATCAACTACTGAAAAACCCACTTCCCCTGCTGTGCAATGTGATCTCCCCTATCATGAACTGGGCTACTGTATATACCTGGGGATTCTACATTTTTAGCAGGGGGCTTTTTACGTTTCGTCCTGCATTTGAAGTTGTCTTTAGCACAAAGACAATTTTGACCTCTCTAGTTCTTCATTGGTGGAAAACAAATATGCCTAGTCACTCTTCAACGCTCTGTGATCCCCAGAGTCACTGGCCAAAGCCAGCCACCATCTCTGTGATGCAAAATCCACTTGACATCACTGGGTCTTTATACCTATCCCTGTCCTGTCCATCAGCAGTCATCCCTCTCTTGTTCTCACACTGATCTTCTGACCAAGTCCCTTTTTTTTTTTTTTGAGGCAGAGTTTCACTTTGTCACCCTTGGTAGTGTGCCTTGGTGTCATAGCTCACAGAAACCTCAAATTCTTGGGCTCAGGTGATCCTCTTGCCTCAGCCTCCCAAGTAGCTGGGACTACAAGTACTCACCACAACTCCTGGCTATTTTTAGAGATGGGGTCTTGTTCTTGCTCGGGCTGGTCTTGAACTCATGAGCTCAAGCAGTCCACTAGCCTTGACCTCCCAGAGTGCTAGGATTACAGGTGTGAACCATCACGATCAGTGACCAAGTCCTTTTTAACAAGCTGTTATGGTATGAATGTTTGTGTCCCCCAAAGGTGATGAGATTAGGAGATGGGAGTCTTTGGGAGGTGATGTGGTCATGAGGGTGGAGCTCCGATAAATAAGATTACTGGTTTATAACAAGGACCCTAGGGAGAACTTCATCCCTTCTACCATGTGAGGACGCAGTGAGAAGGCATCATCTATGAACCAGGAATCAAGGCCTGACCAGACACTGGTTCTTTCATGCCTTGATCTTGGACTTCCAGACTCCAGAGCTATGAGCAATAAACTTCTATTGTGGGCGATGCCTGTGGCTCAGTGGGTAGGGCGCTGGCCCCATAAACCGAGGGTGATGGGTTCAAACCTGACTCCGGTCAAACTGCAACAAAAAATAGCTGGGTGTTGTGATGGGCACCTGCAGGCCCAGCTACTTGGGAGACTGAGCTAAGAGAATTGCCTAAGCCCAGGAGTTGGAGGTTACTGTGAGCTGTGATGCCACAGCACTCTACCGAGGACCACAAAATGAAACTCTGTCTCCAAAATAAATAAATAAAAAAAAAAAACTTCTATTGTTTATATCCCATCTAACCTAATTTTGTTATAGCAGAACAGACTGAGACACAAGGGTCACAGTGTTCTCCACAGGTTGATCCCTGTCAGGCTCTCCATACCAAAATCCTCTTTCTTCTTCCACATTTCATATTCTACACAGACTAAATCACTTGCAGCCTTTTACCCCTGGGCTTCTTGCCTTTTACTCCTGGGCTTCTTGGGGAGCTGTCCTAGCCTCTCCTCACCTAAATAACTGCCAACCACCCTTTGTCATGTGCATCAAGTCAAATGCATGAGTGTATTTCCTTATTGCAGAATTCCTCGGGATTTCTGCAGTCATCTCTATGTCTTCCCTCCTGGACTGTGTGGTGGCTCCTGCAAGCCAGTCCTCTTTCGTGAACTTCCTTTCTGGCCACCCCCAGCCCACAGATAGGCTTTCGATCCTCTGGGAATGCACTGCCTGTGGACCTACCTGGCGTCCAGCCTCGTTGTTGTGACGGTTCATGGCCGAGCGGGCATCTGGCCGGTTCTCCCTCGCGTCTGCAAACTCCCTAGACACCATACCGCCAAACTCGATGTCCTCACTGCAGCCGCCCCACTTCCAGCCCTCGCCTGGTGAGCCCTGATGGCGGCTGCTACAGCCACAGATGGCAGCCACACCCTCTGAGCACGAACGTGTCACCGCAAAGGCCACTCCAGCTGAGGCAATGGCGTGGACAAAGGCTGACTCTCGGGTGGCTGAGGAGAGAGGAAAGATGCAGGTTTAGCATGGCCGATTGGTCCTCCTGGTCCACAAAAAGACACAGCAAAAATGCTCATGAGAGGTCCAAACTGGAAACACCCAAATACCTATCAACAGGTGGATGCACAGATGCATTCCTGTGGCATGTCCATCAGGAATTCAATTTAGCAATAAGAAGAAAAACAGCATGGATAGATCTCAAATCATCACAGTGATCTTTAAAAAAAAAAAAAGGCAGCAAAAACCAGAAAAAAGAGAGCCAGTGCCTCTTGGCACCTCCACTGCTGGAGTTGAGACCTCAGAGTATGACTCAGGGTCCCACATGCTGCCCACTCCTGTGGTGGCTCAGGCCCCTTCCCTCCTCTACCCCAAGCACCAGGCACAGCCCAGGGGCCTGACTTTTCCATATCCTTGCCAACACTTGCTATTCTCTGACATTTGGATTCTAGCTGTCCCAGTGGGTGAGGTGGTACCTCATTTGGTATTGATTCTTCTGGGATCTTCTCAAGGCCAGAGGCCTCCAGCGCTGCCTTCCCCAGTCCCAGCCCCCAAAGTCCCAGGATGTGTCCCTGACCTGAGTGTGAGTCTGTGGGGTAGCCTAGGCTTTGCAGAGGCCAGACCCCCCGTCCGGCTTCTCTGGACAGGATGGATAACATACCTGCCTCTCCTAGGTGTGTGCAAACGCTTCTGCATGGCCCTAAAGGGACAGTCTGCTGTAGGCAGTGGGAGGACTTGCCATGCCTTTCAACACAGGGCTACAGAACCCCTGCTGTCTGCTAAACATTGTATTTGCAAACAACAGCAAAGCCCTCGGAGCTTGTTTGTGCCCCAAAGCCCAGGTGATAAAGGCAGGAGCAGGGGCAAGGGCCAGGCAAGCAAGTTGTGCGCACACTCAGACATACCCACATGGCTTGGTACAGCACACCCACAGATAGCGGTTACCAAAAAATGCATATCTACTCCCATTCTTTTTTTTTTTTGCTTGTACAAAGGTCTTTATTAGTAGGGGAGGGAGGCTGCAGAGTAGCACCAAGGAGGAGAGATAAGAGAAGAGAAAAGAGGAGAGAAAAGAGGGGAGAGAGATAAGGAGAGAGTGGGGAAGAGAAGAGAGAGAGGGCAGAGGAGAAAGGCGGGGAGAGGGGGAGAGTCTACTCCCATTCTAAGAACACACAAAGCAGAAGGTGTTTGAGGTCAGTGGCCTTGCTCTGGCTTCCCTTTCTCCTATCCTTCTACCCAGCAGGCTGACAAAGCCCCTCTCCCTAATCATCCCTTGCTGTCTGCTTTTGGGGATTATCCCTGTGGATTTCCCAACACTTCCCTGATAGCCCTTTGTAGGCCCCAGCAGCCTTCTCCCCTCCCCAGGATCCTGCCCAAGGTAGTCCTGCGCTCTCTATTTCTTCTGTATCCACCTGCTACCACTGGCTTAGGGAAGGGTTCCACCTTAAACTGTTCATGCCAGGCCCTGAAATTCATCAGGTGCTCCAGCCTCTTGAGGTGGCTATGGGACCTCCCAGCCCATTCTGCCACTCCCCATTCTTCTCTGTGGGTCCATCTCTCACTTGGACCTAAAGAGGCTCCTAGTAGGGATGGCACTCCCTGCCTTTAGCTTCCTCCCGCACTTGCACACGCATGCACCTTCATACATGTGTGCACATATATGCTGTAGGCTGAGCTCTTTGTCTGATGCTGCTCTGGCCATGCCAGGTTCCTTCCTGAATTCTCAAAGACTGTCTCTTCACCTGACCTCCCCGGCCTCCAGCCAGACTTAGCCCTCTGTCCTCCCATTGCTCTCTCTCCAGCTGTTTCCTGGGTTCATGCAGCAGCCAGG